AGGTAATGAGTGCAGGACAGAGGTGCCTCTTAAAGAAGAAGGTACAGGTCTGTGAGAGCCAGAAATCTTGCTTGTTTGTAGGTGACCAAATACTTATTTTCTACCATAATTTGCAAATAAATTCTTTCCAAATCAGCCAATGTGATTGTCTGGATTTTTTTTCTCATTTTGTCTCTCATAGTTGAGGTCTACCTATTATGCCAATTACAGGCCTCTCTCATCTTTTTAAGTGGGAGAACTTGCACAATTGGTGGCTGACTAAATACTTTTTTGCCCCACTGTATGTACCAGAATGATAGGAAGAGAAAAGTGTGGAGAAGGCTTGGAACAGCTCATGATCCAAAGCACACAACGTTATCTGTAAAACATGGTGGATGCAGTGTGATGGCATGGGCATGCATGGCTTTCAGTGGCACCGAGTCATTGGTGTTTATTGATGATGTGACAGAAGACAGAAGCAGCTGGTTGAATTCTGCAGTGTTTAGAGAGATACTGTCAGCCCAGATTCAACCAAATGCAGTAAAGTTGATTGGATGGCACTTCACAGTACAGATGGACAATGATCCAAAACACACTGCAAAAGCATCCCAGGAACATTTGAAGAAAAAGAAGTGGAATATTCTGCAAAGGCTGATTCAATCACCTGATCTCAAATGCATTTCACTTGCTGAAGGCAAAATTAATGGCAGAAAGCCCTACAAAGAACAACAGAAGACAGCTGTAGTTAAAACCTGGCAAAGCATCAGAGAGGAGGGAACCTAGTCTTTGGTAATGTCCATGGGTTACAGACTTCAGTCAGTCATTGCCAGTAAAAGATTCTCAACAAAATATTAAAAGTGAACATTTTATTTTTTTATATTCAGTTGTCCAATTACTATTGGTCCCTTGAAAAAGGAGGGGAAGAGGGGTGGCTACTCTTAAGAGCTGTAATTCCTAAACCCTTCCTCCAATTTGGATGTACAAACCCAAGAGTGTGCACTTTCAGCCCATATCCATTATATAACTATAGCTTGAATATGATTAGGTCAATACCTGAAAAAAATAAATAAAATCATGTCTGTGTCCAAATATATATGGAGCTAACTGTATATATTTTTTCAAGTGCCCGGGGGAAGAAAGGCTGAAAGATTCAGCTTTGATTATAAAAGGAGTGTGTGTATGTATGTATGTATGTGTGTGTGTATATATATATATATATATATATATATATATATACACACACACACACACACATATATATATATATACACATACACAGGGATGGACTGACAACTCATGGGGCCCCTGTGTCCTCGCCCACACCCAAAAAAGCCTATGAAAAGACCAATAAAAGGTACCAGGGGCATCTCATGGGGCCCCCTACTGACCCCGGGCCCTCAAGCAGTGCCTGAGTGCTCGAATGGTCAGTCCGCCCCTATATATATATATATGTGTGTGTGTGTGTGTGTGTGTATTTTTTATTTGACTGTTTCTGTATATTTTGACATGCCAAGAATGTATTCATACAGCTTTGTAAAGTTACAGAAAGGTCCACTTTAAGCCGTCTTGGCTGAAATTATGATCCCTATGGGCAAAAGCACAAGTGTTATATATTAATGAATTGGGCATATTGACAGAGAGCACATACCTGAAAGGGTTACAGTCATACATTACCTAGCATGCAAGCACTTTACATGGAAAAGTATATCAAAAGCTAGGTCCTCCTTAACATTCTGTTGCTCATCACTTTACAGCAGAATTACTGACATTGGCTACATGCATGCATGTCTGAAATAATTTCTTGTAAGATCTTTAAACATGATGAGTCATAAATAAATTGTGATGATAAATTTACATACAGTATAAAATACATAGCAAATAATGTGGTTGACAGGATCATTCATTACTTGTACTTAGTTACTGTGTTTACCCGACAGCCCAGACATTCTTCTTTTCACCATTTGATGATATCAGCTCTCACCACTGTTAGTAAATCAGACATGATACATGTGCAATCAGAGATCGGAAGCCCAGGTTTTGACAGGTAGCTAAATATGAAGGCAAATTACAGAGGCATATTCATAAAGTAGGTAATCTGACATTCTGCAAACATTCACCACAGGTGAAACTTCCTGCTGTGTGTGATTTATACCCCGTTGACACTTTGCGATCAGCTGTGGGAGACCAGAGGGTATTCCCTGAAATTAACTGCAGACAGCCTCATTGAGGGTAATCAATGTTACAATCATTTAATTGCTCATGCAGGAGTTACCTGCAGATGTTCAGCCCTAAATAGCTGCTAGAGTCGTCAACCTCAACCTGCCATTGCTTTCAGTGGATCTTCCTGTCTACAGCTAACTGCAGCTGACCCCAGCTCGGTCTCCAGCAGCTAATCACAAAATCAACAGATTGCTGGTGCCATGCAGGTCTCCCACAGATCTGTCAGTATATCTGCTTGCCTGTATGGAATGTACAAGCAAGCAGTTACAGTGAGAAACAGAAGTATTTGAACACCCTGCCATTTTGCAAGTTCTCCCACTTAGAAATCATGGGGGTGTCTGAAATTCACATTGTAGGTGCATTCCCACTCTGAGAGATAGAATTAAAAAAAAAATTTCAGGAAATCACATTGTATTATTTTTAAAGAATGTCTTGCACTGCTGAACATAAGTATTTGAACACCTAAGAAACAGCAAGAATTCTGGCTCTCAAAGACCTCTTACTGTGCCTTTAAAAAGTCTACCTCTACTCCACTCATTAATCTAACTTAGTATCACCTGTCTGAGCTCTTTAAAGACACCTGTCCACCCCAGAGTCAGTCAGACGCCAACTACTACCATGGGAAAGACCAAAGAGCTGTCAAATGACACCAGAGACAAAATTGTGGACCTCCACAAGGCTGGAAAGTGCTACGGGGCAATTGCCAAGCAGCTTGGTAAAAATAGATCAACTGTTGGAGCAATTGTTAGAAAATGGAAGAGGCTAAAGATGACTGTCAGTCTCCCTTGGACTGGGGCTCCATGCAAGATCTCACCTCGAGGGGTATCACTGATGATAAGAAAGGTGAGGAATCAGCCCAGAACTACAAGGGAGGAGCTGGTCAATGACATGAAGAGAGCTGGGACCACAATTTCAAAGGTCACTGTGGGTAGAACACTACGCCATCATGGTTTCAAATCATGCATTGCACGAAAGGTTCCCCTGCTCAAGCCATCACATGTCCAGGCCTGCCTGAAGTTTGCCAATGACCATCTGGATGATCCAGAGGAGGCATGGGAGAAAGTCATGTGGTCAGATGAGACCAAAGTAGAACTTTTTGGTCTAAACTTCACTCGTCGTGTTTGGAGGAAAAAGGATGAGTTGCATCCCAAGAACACCATCTCTACTGTGTAGCATGGGGGTGGTTACATCATGCTTTGGGGGTGCTTTTCTGTGAAGGGGACAGGGCGACTGCACTGTATTAAGGAGAGGATGAATGGGCCATTTATTGCGAGATTTTGAGCAACAACCTCCTTCCCTCAGTCAGAGCATTGAAGATGGGTCGTGGCTGGGTCTTCCAACATTACAACGACCCAAAGCACACAGTCAGGATAACCAAGGAGTGGCTCCGTAAAAAGCATATCAAGGTTCTGGAGTGGCCTAGCCAGTCTCCAGACCTAAATAGAACATCTTTGGAAGGAGCTGAAACTCCGTGTTGATCAGCAACAGCCCCGAAACCTGACAGATCTAGAGGAGATCTGTGCGGAGGAGTGGGACAAAATCCCTGTTGCAGTGCAAACCTGGTCAAGAACTACAGGAAACGTCTGACCTCTGTAATTGCAAACAAAGGCTTCTGTACCAAATATTAACACTGATTTTCTCAGGTGTTCAAATACTAATGTTCAGCAGTGCAAGACAAATAAATTCTTTAAAAATCATACAATGTGATTTCCTGAATTTTTTTTTAATTCTGTCTCTCAGAGTGGGAATGCACCTACAATGTGAATTTCAGACCCCTCATCCATGATTTTTAAGTGGGAGAACTTGCAAAATCGCAGGGTGTTCAAATACTTCTGTTCCTCACTGTATACTGACAGGAAGATTTAATGAACTACCAAAGCGCTCTACAGCACCATGGTAGTTAATTGAGAACTACAAGCTGACAGTTGCTAACACCCCGGTCAGATGCGACTTTGCATGCGATTTTCACCCTATTGTCAATTGCTCAATTTGAGCAGTAAAATCGGTGCGCTTCTGACTTGGTCGGAGCCGCGCCAATTTCTAAAGTAGTACATGTACTACTTTTGGTGCGATTTGCATAGACATCTGTGTCAGATGTCTTGCAAATCGCACCTGAAATCGGCATCTCACCCGACTTTGAAATCGTGCGACTTCACTATAAATTGTAAAATATCAATGTCGGGCTTGATGTGACGGGGGGCGGGGATACCCATAATTCTGCTGTTTTTAGAAAAAGCAATGAGGCCTTCAACCACTTTCCCTCTAGAGGATTTACCCCCCTCCCTAACCATGCCATTTTTTATACAGTGCTGCGTTACTTTGACAATTGCACTGTCATGCAACACTGCACTCAAATGAAATTTATGTCTTTTTTTTCCCACAAATGGAGTTTTCTTTTGGTGGTATTTGAGCGCCTCTGTGTTTTTTTATAGACCAAAAAAAGATGACATATAGGCAAAAAGATCAATTTTGAGAAAAAGACAATATTTTTGACTTTTTGCTATTAAACATGTCCAGTAAAAAAATGTAAAAATTCACATTTCCTCATAAAGTTAGGCTAAAATGTATTCTGCTACATGTCTTTGCTAAAAAAAAAATCCCAATACATGTAAATTAATTGGTTTACGTGAAAGTTATAGCATCTACAAATGGCAGTATATATACTGGAAATGGCGGTGATCAGTGACTTATAGTGGGACTGCGGCGGGCATTCTGACACTGGGGGGGAACTGACTTGGTGTCACTGACATCCCCAGTGACACTAATACCGTGATCAGTGCCAGGGGCAGACTGACAACTCATGGGGCCCCCGGGCAATAGGGGATCATAGAGCCCCTGTGTCCTTGCCCAAACACAAAAAAGCCTATGAAAAAGGTACCAGGGGCATCTCATGGGGCCCCCTACTGACCCGGGCCCTCGGGCAGTGCCCGAGTTTCCAAATGGTCAGTCCGCCCCTGATCAGTACTAATCACCCAGTGATCGTCAGCTGTAGCCGCAAGTGGTGGCTGGCACAAGCGCCTCCTACCCGAATTACAAAATCACATATATATATATATGTGTGATTTTGCACAGCCCTGCCGCCCTGTAGCAGTAGTTCTGCTATAGGGCAGTCGGGAAGCAGTTAAAGAAAAGAATACAGTCCCTACAGTCAAACATAGTGGATGTTCACTGATGTTTTGGAGTTGCTTTGCTGTTTCAGGCACTGGATGTCTTGACTGTGCATTGCATTATGTAATCTGAAGAATACCAAAGAATTCTGGGGTGCAATGTAGGGCCCAGTGTCAAAAAGTTGGGTGTCCCTGAAAGGTCATGGGGTCAATACAGCAGGACAATGACCCAAAGTACACATCAAAAAGCACCCAGAAATGGTTTCAGACAAAGCGCTGGAGAGTACTGAACTGGCCAGCAATGAGTGCAGATCCCATAGAGCACCTGTGGAGAGATCTCAAAACAGCAGTTGGGAAAAGGCACCCTTCCAATCTGAGAGACCTGGAGAAGTTGGCTAAAGAAGAGTGGTCCAAAATTCCAGTAGAGATGTGTAAGAAAATCATTGATGGTAACAGTAAGCAATTGATTTCAGTTATTTAGCACAAGGGGTGTGCTAACAAATATTAAATTGAGGGTGCCAATAAGTTTGTCCAGTCCATTTTTGGGGTTTTGCGTGGAATGTGTCAGATCTGGCTTTTTGTCTCTCCACTTTTTTGTGTCATAGCAATACAAACAAAATAAATAAAGATGTGAATGACTAAACATTTGTAATTGCATCAATTTTCTGGGCAAAGTAGTGCATTATCTGACAGAAACAGGGTGCCAATATTTTTGGCCACGACTGTAGGTTGCTAGAAAGGTTAGGTAAATTTAGTTCTTTTTGGCACCCCTGTAATCAGTGGAGCAGTTTGTGATTGCTTTGGGGTGTTCAAGGCTTCACAGACTGTCCCTGCTCTCTGGAGGATTCTAGAATGTAGTGGGTTGGGAAAGGCAAATCAACAGCCTTAATATTTATGTTGTTTCATCCAATCCCTGGGGGAGGGTGCCCAGTAAGTGGTTGACGAGTATATAAATAGTCTAGGGCCAGAGGTTGTCCTGTTCTTGTCCAGGAGTAGAAGTTCCCAGCCTGAAGGGCTACTGCCCATTTGGGCAGTGCTAACTGAAGTTTTTAAAGGAGATCATTAAAGTCCCAGATAAGCTAGAGCTGGGGGCTTACTGTTCAGAGAATAGCTGGAGCTGATCGAGGAATTTTAGAGGATCTGGTCTGGAGAGTTCACATGAGAAATGTCTGTCTGATATTGGAAGGAAGTATCCAAGTGTCCAGGAACATTGTGAGTACAGACCTGAGTACAGGATCTTAGTGACTGCTGCTGCTATCCCCTGTGCATCAATGCCAAAGCGTGCTTGAATTGGTATATTTCTTGTGTTTTGTTTGTGTGTTGTTCTGGAGTCTCAGTGCTGCTTATTTTCTTAGCTGGTACTAGAGGAACTGTACTAAGAAGCTTTGACAAAGTTTTGGCTATACAGTGTTGCTGGAGTATCCCTCAGCTTCCTGCATCCCAAACAAGTTTATTCAGCAATACATATCAAACAGATAACTCCTTGACTGTTCATTAAGCCATAAACAGTGACTATTGCTGCGTACCTGGCTGCCGCTACACCAACTTGGGGAAAGAACCTGGGGCAAATCAATGAGCCCTTTTGTGGGTGAGTGCTACAACTCCATGCACCAAGACATCAAGGCCTGGATGGTGGGCCCTTAAACAAAATTCAATACCCCATCCCATCCTCATTATCATTGGTAAATGCAGTCCTCAGGTGCAATAAAAAATGTACCTACTTACTCTTTTGGCCTACCCAGAGAAGGGCAGTATTTACAGACCTTCCAACATGAACCATTCTATAAGGCACAAACTCCCTGCTCCTGTTTGTATCCTCCATGACCAATCAGCAAAGCAAATGCTCCCCAATCACTGGAAAACCTTAATTCTGACTTAGCAGGGGAAGTGTCAGATCTCTGCAGAGAGAACACTTCTTCCACATGGGTTCTTCTCTGCAGAATGCTGGCAGTGGGCAGGCTTATGTTGTGGCTGCTTTCTAAATAAAATAAACTGCACATGACCGCATAGCTACATTCATCCCTGCAGCCTCCCCACTCCAAGGCTGAGCCAACCAAGGGACTTTTCTTCACATTTGGCGGACCTGACCAGAGCAGTTTGCTTTTGGGCGCATTTTAATCTGGTCCGAAACCTAAGGAAGCATTCCTCCACAAACCCATACCACACATGAATAAACACCAAAGAAAGCTGTCGGGGTTTGTTGGCTAGGCAGACTCTAGCTAGAGCTTGTGAGCGCCTGTCAATAAACTTAGCCATGGTTAAGCAATGTCTCATGGGGACCATGATACATGAAAAGCTAACCTCTATACTCAACGATACTCATGCTAAGTACTTGAAGACTTGGGGTCCATGGCTGTACTACAGTGGGCAACTGCACATAGATAACGCTCTCCTCTCACTATAGCTGACTACTTGGACCAAGGTGTACGCAGTCAAGGTCAGTCCTCACAGGACTTCCGACTCCCACCTCTTTACCCCTTGCTCTCTCTGCTCTCCTCCTCTCGGAACCCACCTTTCCTTTTCCCTGCTCTTGTCTCTTTCTTTGTCTTTTCCTTCACCATAGCTGTTCTTTTACCACCAAGCAGATTAGTATTTGCCCAACTTTATGAAGATATTTACTAATCAGATGATGATGAATGCCATAAGGACTGGTGGGATATGCACCACCCATGCCTTTTTATGAGTGAAACATCATGCTGCTTTTCTGACTGTGCTATATGTTCTTGTATTACCACTGTTTTCGATAGCTAGGCTACCAGCAATTGAACCTCATTACTGTCATACTGCTGCTACACTATTTGTACTCCATAATTTTACACTAAAAGCTTAAATGGACAAGTGAACTTGTGTTTTGCGCCTGAAGGACAGTGGAACAAGTTTTAAAAAATACCAAGGTGGACTGGAAACTATCACCTTGTTGTGCACCTGCCACTGCTGCGTTTACAGTTGCAAGAAAAAGTATGTGAACCCCTTGGGATTACGTGGAGTTTTGCATGAATTGGGCATAAAATGTGCTCTGAATGTCATCTAAGTCACAACAATAGAAGAACACAGTCTGCTGAACATAATAATACACAAACATTAGATGTTGCCATGGTTTAATTGCACATAACATGTAAACATTCACAGTGCAGGGAGGAAAAAGTATGTGAGGCCCTAGCTTAATGACTTCTCCCAAACCATGGCAACATCTAATGTTTGTGTAGTATTATGTTCAGCAGACTGTGTTCTTCTATTGTTGTGACTTAGATGACGTTCAGAGCACATTTTATGCCCAATTCAGGCAAAACTTCATGTAATCCCAAGGGGTTCACATACTTTTTCTTGCAACTGTAGTTGCAAGGAGTGAAAGCAATTTTCTGGTACTTCCAAGTATAAGGATCATGTGACTCAGTAGCTCAAAGCTTGGAACTTGTACAGTGTTTTCTCTCTTTGCTTCCTTTGGTGGAAGCTGTAAGTGAGAGAAAGGTAAGCATGTGCAGATGAAGAGGGTGGAGGCTATGTCAACCTGTTGCCATGCCCTCCTAGATTGTAAGCTCGAAAGAGCAGGGCCCTCAATCCCCTCATGTTTTGCATTGTATTGGTATTGTTCTGTCACATGTTCTGTCCCCCTTTGTAATGCACAGCGCTGAGCGAACTATTGGCGCTTTATAAATACTGTATAATAATAATAATAATGCCCTGCATAGGTAAAGCAGAGTTTCACTTTAACCCTTTTCTACTGCATTAACGTATATATGCTGGGGAAAGGTGTGTGAAACTTAAATCGGAGCTCCACCCAAAAGGGGAAGTTCCGCTATACATACTGGTCCCTCAGTCCCTGTGAAGAATTGGCACCTTTGGGAAGTGGGTACCCGATTTTGATAGGTACCCGCTCCCACTTCCGCTGCAAATACCTAGGCGATCACAAGCCGAAGTTGTTCCACCCCCCCCCGTAGTTTTCTGGGACACATGACAGATCTCAGACTACAGGACCATTCATAAAGCGCAGTGTGTTACTCGCTTATGCGCAGTGGGCACCCAACTGTGAAGCTGCAAGCTGTCACAACCGGGTGCCCATACTTAAGACGCCAGTGCTGGGGAGCAACGACAGCCTGTGAACTCAACTGCTGAGAGTACACCACTGGATCAAGGGACAGGTGAGTAGCTGTTTTTTAAAAGTAAGCAACTACATTTTTTGTATTTGCTGACTTTTATTTTTTTAGCTTTGACTGGAGCTCTGTTTTAACTGCCTGTTGCACATATGTGTCCATAGGGTCCGAGTTTCTGTGCTGAGCACACGCTGACTGCATGCTCCAAGCTCACTAGCTGAACTGTCATGACAACTCTCAGTTTCTGTGATGGGAGCCAGAGCAAAAGTCTCCTGATCATGTGACAGCTGTGAGAGCCAACCACTGTGGTCAGGTGGTTAGGACTCAGCATATCCACTTATAGAGCCTCTAGTAAGTGGCGGTAAGGGGTTAAGAATCTACACAGAACTCCGGGATTACTCACAGTAGTCACTGTGACATATTATTATGGATTGTGCAAAGTGCAGAGCTAAAACTAGGTACACAGCTATAGGATATACATTTTTGTAACAAAAGCATTAATTAAGATATTTTGTTTTTGCTGCTCCTCATATTGCATGTAAACAATTGTGGAATGAAACATTAACAAGTCACATTTCAAACAAAGTTATAGTGTTGCGCTACTACAACATATGACTAACATATAAAGAATTAGAATTCGTGAAGCCTCAACTGCATTGGTGGATCAACCATGTGGGAGACTTAAGGTGCTGCTCAAGGCTCAGTACAGGTGAAAGTCACCCCGCTGGCAGAGCAAGAAGTGGGGAGCAGCGTCCCAGGTTATTTCAGAGACTGATGCAGTAT